GTCTTATGTTGCTTTCCTTCTTTTTGCTCTCATTGTCCTCAGTCCTAGTTGCCCTTAGTGCCATTTGATCCAGCCAGTCATGTGCATGCCAGATACTTTTACTGATTACATCACAATGCTGTGTCTGGTGTGAGTACAAATGAACAACTGTAAACAGAAGGGCATAAATTGCTACAGTCAATCAGATCAGGAAACAGCAGTGAGGAGAAATGGAGCTGAATGCAGTGAGGACAAGGGAGGGGTCAGGAGAAAAAGAGGCAGTTGCTCAGCATCAAAATATCATGGATGTTCAGTGAGGCAAAGAAGTTGTGACTGTCTAAAAATGCCCCTTTTGACACAAATATCAAAATTCTCAAAAATACCTGAGAATATCCCAAGCCGTACTTCTGTATATATATTACGAACAAATGAGAAAGAACAATGAATGTAACTTTGAAAAGAGTCAATGAATGGTGGGAGTATTTCCATCCCACTGAATAATTAGTGTAATTGGGCTAACACTACTTCCCTAAACCTTGGTAAACTGGCACTGGCCCAACAACCAAAGCTAACAGCGGCGTCAGCAGCCACTGCCGCCCACAAGCAGACACGCTCTCAGAAAGGTGTTTGGGAAACTGAGGAAATGCATACTCCCCAGGCACCCAAGCGATTCAGAAGCCTCAATGTGCTGTAGTTTTCCGAGAAATGGTCTGCATGTCCCCATCACAAGCACGTATACCCCTCCCAGTTTAGAAGGTGGTACAAATTGTGAAGTCATTCCTATCTCTTTTCCAGATCAAAGACCAGCACCTGATCTGCTGAAGGTACTGGGTGGGATTGCACATCATGCTAAGCCATCCTCTGAAAAAGCCATGATTGTTTTTTTCCCAGGTCCCAAAAATGGTCCCAACAGATAATATGCTTGCTCTCTAAGGCAAAGTTTTTCATGGTTTGTTTCCAATTCACTCCTCCTTCCTGCTCCTGTCATGCATCCTATGAACCTTGATGACAAAGTTTCTATCCTGCAATGCTTTGCTCATGGGCCATGTCAGCAGCTTTTTCACTATTGGTCTGCTAGGTACTCTGGCCGTGTGTCACCTCTGCTGCCTCCCAGTGGACAGTTTTCCAAACCCTACTCCTCCTCTCGGCAGATCAACATACCAGGTTTTCAAAATATTTGTTTTTCAAAACTGAATGGTAAATCCTAATATTCCCTTTTATGGGTACTTAGTTTTCTTTTGCTTTATTCATGGAAGCCGGTTTTCACACTGCACCAACAATCCAGAAATCGAGCGTCCCTGGCCTGTTCCGCCATCATGACTTGCAGCGCGAGCAATGAGGCAGCGCGCACCAGGAGGCCTGCTCACCCACAGCACCCAGGGCTGAATGCAGGCATGCGGCAGCATATGAAGGTGACCGGTGGGAGATTTAGGACACATAAAAGGAAGCACTTCTTCGTACAGTGTATAAGTTAAACTATGGAATTCACTGCTACGGGAAGTGGTGACAGCAGCCAATCTGGATTGCTCTGAAAAGGGAATGGACAGATTCATGAGGGAGGAAGCTATCAGTGGCTACTAGACTTACAGGTTATATGTTACCTCCAGTGCTTTTTTTGTAAGAAAAATGGTGCCGGAACTCATGAAATTATTTACTTTTCGCACGTAGTCAATAACTGTACACACACCCACACACGTCAGTTGTGTAATGAAACATAACAGTCGCCATCCGCAATAAGCTCAGCGGGCGACCACACGACCAATCACAAGCCAAGCAGCACCACAAGCCGAGCAGCACCATCACAACCAGTGCAGATGAAGTACGCACGCATCGGATTCGACCCACAAGCAGCCCGCATGCACCGTTTTAATGATTTTGCCACTGACCTGCTACACTCGACAGGGCGATTCAAATCCACGTGGACCAAACATCAAATTTTAAAAAGTTACTTTTAAAACTGGGAAAATCTGTCAAAAAAAGGTGCCGGAACGCCGTTCTGGTGCGTTCTATGACAAAAAAAGCACTGGTTACCTCCTTTCCCAGAAGTGGGATGCCAGCATAGACCAGTTGCTGAGGAACTGGTGCAGGCAGAGGTCTTGCACCCAACCTGCTTAAGCGATCCTGAGGGCAGCTGGTTTGCCACCATGTGTACTGAATGCTGGACTAGAAGGACCGTTGGTCTGATCCAGCGTGGCTTGTCTTGTGTTTCTATGTCACTAGAAAGAGCAGCTTTGTTTCTCTTCCTTTTCTCCCAGAGCAACTCCATGCTGTATAGCAAAACAATACTATTTGTTTTCATGTTCTGAATTTCCCTGTCCCACACATTACAGCATATTCATCTGGGATACGTTACGACATAGATTTTGGTACTAGACATGAAAGTGGAAAGGACGACAAGAAATGCTCTGCTGTTTTTGGTGGTAGCCTTGCATCTCTAGTTACTGCCCAGATCAAGCCTGAGCCACACCAAAACAAGCTGAAAGTTAGCAATATTAGCAATCATTTTCTGCTAACAGAGAGCCATCTAGTAACTTTTTAATAAACAAAACATCCAAAATAAATGTGCTTCTTATATCAATTACAACAACCTTGCTTTCATTCTATAACTAGCACAGAGAAATAACACAATGTTTAGTCGATACTTTCCTGCTGATGAATTGGTAACAAACAAATATTTCATCTAAAATATTGATACCATGCTATCACAAAGTTAATGGGCCCAGAAATGCCCAGGGGAGCAATATGCCTTTCCTTCAGTAACTAACAAAACAAGTGTTAACAGCTTTTTATTTATGAACAATTTAAAACTAGTACAGGCACTTAATATATAAAGCTGTTACAGCAAATTTTATTTTTAAAAAAATTTAGCTATCACTCCCCATTATTTTAGTCTATAACTGGGGATTCTTTACTGTACAATTTTTGACAAGTCAATTACATAAAGCAATATTCAATGGCACATTTTTTTAAATAATCAGTATATAAATACCAAACTACTGATACAGTCTCTTTGGAAAATATGGGAGCATTACTAAAATGTTAAATTCACAGGATGATACTTGGCATACATTATGACCAACATGTTCCATAATTTAAGAAATGGCAAGCCCCCTGTCCTTATGACAGGTAAGTACAGAAGAATAAAAGGACAGATTGCCATCTTTCCCATTATCCTTACACATACCCTATATATTCACTCATGCCACTCGTTCCTGCAAACAGAAATGCTTGCAAACATCACACAGTACAATCTATATGTGGATGTAACATAGTCTAGGAAATGCCTAACAACTGAAGTACCCCCTCAGCCTCAGTATCACTGTCACTTTTCCTGGACGCTGCATGAAATCCTATTCACTTGGATTTATCTAGTCATGGGACAGATTTAGTACTGTCCAAATATCACACTGTACGTGTCACAGGCCAGACAGACATTGGCCTCTTCCTAGTATTCACAGGCTTTCCGTTTTATTCGGGACTAGGCATCTCATTACAAGGCAGTGGCAAATTAGAGTGAGATGAGAGAAGAGCAAGAAGAATGGGTTAGTCTGTGTCCAATATCATGACTGATAAGTGGAGATTAAGAGAGAGATGTGTGCACCCCGAGTAAGAGATCATGAAATGTGGATATGATAAATATGGGAGGAAGGTTCCCTCCTCCTGAGCATTATAAGCAGGAGGAGAAAGAAAAGCGCTAGGAATGGAATGCAATTTAAAAGGTGATTTATATTCAAACTACATGAAAAAATGGTGGAGAAGCTGATTAATATTTCTGTGACAGCAGTAGGCTGCCACCAATCACCATTTGCTCCATGGAATCAAATGGCCAACAGAATTACTGACGAGAATCCCATTACATCCAGCCTGAGTAAAACCGCAAACCAACATTATAGAGAAAAGCAGGCAGAGTATCTATCAAATCAACAAGCAACTGGGATGCATCAGTGGAACTAGCACAATCCCAGTCATTTCCATCTATGTGCATTTGGAAAGAGGCAAATACCGTTTTAAAAAACAGGACTCTGTCCCACCTTGCTTGTGAATCACAGTATTTAATTGCATATTTCAAGATATTTCAGGGTAAGGATTATGGGGGCAATTTTTCTTTTATGCTAAGAACCTTTGTAATATAACATGATGAATGTGATATGGATACATTTGAAAGGGGGAAATGGAATATCAACTTGTTCAGGCATTTTCAGGCAGCTCATATGCATTTTCTTGGATGTGGGTATCATTGATCATCATGTAGCTGTTTCTGAGATATTCCAGTGAGACTCATGACCTGAGTAAATGCTTGTCCAGATGAGAGACTTTACCTATCACTATCTTAGTAAAGCAGGACAAAGCCAGGTCAGGTGCACAAGAGACCATGGAGGTGAGTGAAGATCAGCATAAGCTGAAGCATCCTAGACTGCACACAAACACAAAGGCTTGTTCTTTCAAGATCCAAAATGAAAGGGATCTAACGGGTATCCTTAAGTCTAAGCACATGCAGTCTTTGCGGAACATGCTTCTAAATAAATGTGCTACGGATTCTAGTCTTCAAAGAATAACTTTAAAATAATTGCTGAGGGATATAAAGCTGCATTTTACTCAAATGGAGCATAAGTCCTAAAAATTGAGTTTCCCACACTCTAATGACCATTTTTGTCAGAGATAAAAATGTAAAAAACCAACATGCACAGATATAATGATGACTTCTTCACCTTCTTTTGGAGAACTTCCATCATTAAACCCACTTATATAAAATAAAGAAACAACATCCATGATCAATGACAAGAATTCTCAAAATACTGGACTGTTTTACAAATAAATTTAGTGTCAGTTACTGATTCCCCCCACCAGCCCCACACAGAGATTTAATAACCCATTTGATGAAAAAGCTATACCAAACACAGATTCTGTTGCATTCCCATTCAGTACAGCCATTTTCCCTAGAGTATACGTAAAACATATTAAAGAGAATCTAGAGAGAGAGAAACCCCTTACCTAATTAAATCTTGAAACAACAGACTCACCTCTAGAGCTACTTTCCCGTGCATTGCATACTTGTTCTGTAAAGAGATTTTAAGTTATCCCAGGTGGAACTGGATCATATGGATTACAATTTAAAAACTTCTAGACACACCTTTTGGAAGCAAAAATGGCAACACTGAAGCTGTAGTATTTTGGGGCTCTCATGAGAAGGCAAGACTCACCGGAGAAAACAATAATGCTAGGGAAAGTCCAAGGCAGAAGAAGATGACCAAAAATGAGACGGCTCAATTCCATAAAGGAAATCACAGTCTTGAATTTACAAAAGCACAGCAGGGCTGTCAAACCCAGGGCATTTTGGAACGTATTTATTCATAGAGTTGCCATAAGTCAGAGACAACTTGATGACACATAACACCAACAGACACACCTGTAATCTACAGATGCCCTGAAAATCTTTCTTGCTGCATGCATTTAAAGTACAAAGATGAGCAGAAGAGAGAAGCAGATAAAAATAAGTTCACAACCGCTGGTGTTGTGGGTTGGGGTGTTCTTCCTATGCGTAAGTCTGTAATGGAAAATAGGTCTTTGATGGAGACACATTGCTAAACAATAACCAGCCTTCAGCACATGAACTAAATTGAGTAACATGCTTCACATATTACATCAGAGTCAACTGGAAGCTGCACAGCAGACAGATTATGCTGGACTTGAAATGACAATATATATGTGTAGAAATTCGCTCGAAAAGCCTTTACAGATGTGTCCAAGGAGAGTCATGTAGCATAATCTTAACCATATTTATTCATATGCTTTGAATTCTGTTCCCTGGAGATCATATGTTAGATGTTGATTTGGATATTGAATAACATAACAGCAAACATTCTCCTGCCCCAGTGTTTCAGATGGTGGCCAGCCCTTGTTAAATGCAGGTCGCTAAAAAGTGAAATGGACTTTATGTTGATTACTCTGCTTTGGGTTTGCTAGTGTGTGAGAGAACCCAAGAAAATGACTTTTATATACTCAACTAGTTCAGTGCCTAACGTTTGCAGAAGGCAAGCCAATTTACTACTCTAAGCATGGGTCTTGCTTCCAGATACACTGTAGGTTGTGCTATAAACAGTGGCTACAAGAGTAAAACTGTTTTAGCAGCTGAGAAAAATGGTTTTGTTAACATAAGGTGACAAATTAAAAAGCGCTGAAACCAAACTACTGTGAAGCTGTTAACAGCCCTCCAGTTCAGGCTAAGTATGTGAACCAGGCCCTGCCTTCCAGAAAGGTCCTTCCCTTGGGCGGTGTGTCACTTTGATGTTGTTCATCATTCAACAGCGAACTCTGGGATCCTACATTCTTAATCCTCCTTGCTTTTTCCTTTAATCTGGATCGTCATTCCCAGATTTGCAGAATGGCTTAATGGGCTACTAGCGATATTCTGTCCAGCTGCTTTGGTCTTGAGGTCTCAGCCACCCCTTCCCCTTCTTATCCAAATCAGAATTAAATCCCATCTCTTTTTGAGGCATCTCTGCAGAGAAGCTGGGATTAATCCTTACAGGAGAGGAGGGCTCCAGAACTTCTCTCCCTCCCATTTTTCTTGATTGGCCTCTATTTCATTCTTAGACACCCCACAGTTCTCTCATCTTCTCAGTGTTATCCCTGGCTTTTAATTGATTTTTAAAACGGTTACAAAACATACAACAAATGTACCCAATAAGCAAATATAATACAACAAGCACCTCCAGTCTTACATTTCTCCTTTGCAGAAGAAAAGGAGAAGTATTTCTTTGTGGTCCTTCCCCACGAGCTGTCCATGGGAAAGATGATGGTAGGCAGTGAATCTCCTTTGCTCCCAGACTGCTAGTGAGTGAATGAGTGTGTGTGTGTGTGTGTGTGTGTGTGTGTGTGTGTGTGTAAAACACTGCACATGCCTCTCCCCTTACGGGCACACAACCGATTTTATGTCAGAGGGATTTTCACCAGAACAAGGATCCAGTACGGGAAGATTTCTCCCTCGGTACCACCTCTTCAATCCAAATTTGTAGACGCAGGGGCTACTTTGTGCACAATCTTGCATACTTTGGCCCTAACAAGCAAGACTGCTACAAACCAGCTGTTATTTAGATGATTGTTCCACTGTAAGTGGTTTTGAGTTTCAAGAAAAGCTCTCAAACTACAGTGCATCAGACATAAAATCGCTGTCCATGTATAATGGATTGCCAGTATTAATTTTAAAATGTTCTATTTATTAGTGGTCTTCTGTAGTGCATTTGTGCAGGCTGAAGCATAAAGTCTTAGGATAAATGGGGCATTCTGGCATTAAGGTCAACTGCAGAGACAAATGTTTGTTTTGAATAAAAACATTGCCCTTTCAATGCATTCAGTTCTCATGACCACTGTAAGCCCCCACTGGTGTGCATAATTATGTATGTTTAATGCTTTCTACTCTCACTGTGTAAGCCCTGAATGTACTTATTCTAAAAGGGCATGTAATGGTTGTGGCAAGTGTACCTCAATTTGAAGTTAAACAGCAGTTTCTTGCCTAAGCTAAAAACACAGTTATCTCATTTTACTTATACAACAGTACTAATTGTGTCTGCCTTGTTCTCTGGTATGTCTTCTGTTTAAAAGCATCACATGAATACCTCAGGGATAGGTGCAGTGCTATTATTGTCTGCTAGTAACCCTTGACTTGGCATCTGTTGCGTTGCTATCAACAATAACTCGAACATGAGATTTTTAGGTGACAACCTCAGCGGCTATTCTTTTGTTGTTAACACACTCTGTTGTTATGGAGACAACAGAACAGAGAAAGAATGGTTTTCCTGCATGGGGAATGCTTCTCACAGAGAAAAGGCTATTCACATTGCCATGAGCTGCCTCAAGTCCAACTCATACGTAGCTGTGGACGCCTGAAATGCAAGTGCATGGACCAACCTCCACTGAATACACAGCAAGCTGACATGTTTATTCAACATGTGCAAACAGCTGTCCATGAATTTTGTATAACATCGTAATCGCCGTACATGTTTATCCTACTCTTCCTTCAAGGAATTCCCCTCACACATTTTATCCTCAGAACAATGTAAGGTGAGTTAAGGTGAGAGTTATGACTAGTCCACCATCACCTAGTGAACTGTGTGGCTGCGCAGCTAATTGATCCTGGGTCTTCCACACCAATATTTTAACCATGGCATCACATGGGCATATGCAAATCATTGGTTTGTTTCATTAGTTGAGGAACATTAATGTATGTCATTCTGATACTCAGCCTGTCTATGGGCCAAATATCAAGATGTGATTTCAATGACAAAAAGGGCCAAGGGCTGTGTTACTTTAGCTGTAAAGTTTGGCACCAGGAAGATATAGCTGTATCCACAGATGCCCTGGGTCCCACTTTTCCTTCTCCATATTCTTGGATAAGCCAAAAAGCTTTTGAATAATCTTTTATGAAATAAACATTACAACATAATTCTGAATGCTTGAACTGCCACTTTCAGGATCCCAGCTTTCATTTTAAAAATTTGCAAGACTGTTTTGTCCTCAGCTATGTGGATGACAGGAAAAAAAAAGATTACAGTGATGTGCTTTAAAAGCCACAGAAAGCAAATAAAGCAATACTGAAATAAATCACATTTCCCAAACTGGTTTCTATCTTCACACCATAATTTGGGGAGGGAAGCTGGATTATAGGTTTGAACCTTTTGGTTCAGCAGTGCCAGCCCCTCCTTACTTGAAAGTCTCAGCTGCTCAGCAGTGTTTATTAACCTACTGGGCTTAGCACAAGCCACGTCACAGAAGTGATTCACCTCTGTTGTGCACGGTTTCTGCAAAATACCTTGGGCATCAGCTCTAATTACTGTTTCCAATGTAACCTTCTGTGTTGCAAACTTTGCCTTAAGTGCCACCATCCCTTTAAACAGCTACCTGACAAGAAAACCGAGCCATTTGTAAGCAATCATGCTTGAGGTGTGTCCATCTTTACCCCTGTACTGAATGTTACTACAAGATCTTGTGATTTACTGCCACATTTGCCGAATGTAGTCAGTGAAAACATCTGCAACAGCACGAAGAGCCCAGGACTGAAATTGTTGTTCAAGGGTGCTTCTATTTTGAAATGTGCTTTGCTCAATACATTATTCTTGCACAGCCTAGAGGTTTCCTTCCATGATCTTGCAATTGGTTCCCACTTTTTTACTCTCTTGAATTCCGTTCATCATCTGTTCAGGAAGAAGCAATCAAGGAGTGGGCTTTGGATGTAAGAAAATGATCTTAATGAAAGATGCCATTTTGCTGGCCAAACTTCACTTATGCATGTTAGGAGTTATTCACCCTGCAAATAAGCTACGCAGGGTAGATCTGGCTCACTGTGGGTTGCCCCCTCTTTTCCCTCTCTGTTCCCAAAAGGTACCTCTGAGCACTTGGTGGCTAAAGTCAGCTAGTCTGCTATCCCCACTACAATTGTGAGTCCTTTGGGGCTCACGGCATTTTTTCTCCCCTTCCTTTTTTCAGATCCTCACTTGTAAGGATCTCTGAAGTGAGAGCCCCTGACAGCCTCCCCAAAGTGTCCAAGTAGCACATTGGAAAGACTGCTGGTGGCTTGACATCTAGTTATTTTGCACAACAAAATGTGCCCCTGCTTTTTGTAATTTATTGGGGAGCAGCCATTTTCTAGACTTGAGCAAGTGCACATCTTTGAATAGCCAAAACAGGGAGGCTTGCCTGGGTGCTGTCCCATAAAGTCCTTCCTGTCAAAATGCATCAGGCACCAACAACGGACACTGAGAAGTGATTCTGCAAATAGGTTACTTTATCACGGTGTGTCCTATTAAAACAAGGGAATTGCCAAGGGTGAGCAAAGCCAGGAAGGTTCTTTGCTCACTAAAGGGGGTAGTGATGCCCCCGCTTCACTCTGTGAGTCCTGCCAGAGTTCCCAGTCTCCCCACATGAAAACCCACACAGGTCCAACAAGCCCTAGAACAAGCCACGGCATCGCTGGGTGGCTTGCAGCCCACATACAAGCAACCCTGTGGCAGCAGTCCAGGTTTGCAGGACACACCAAACCAGCATGATAAGCTGCCCCGGAAGGGTTGCCATGTTGTGACAACCAAGTCATCATTTGATTCATGCTAATAAATCTTTTTGTTTTAAAGAGTGCCTCAGTATTTGGGAAATACAACATAGCAGAGAAATTTGAATAGATACTTGTCTGGCCATCTATGCTGAGCAGGTAAAAACTGCCTCCAGGTGACTGTAGTTGCCTTCCCAAAACTACACCTTTCTTTCAGACTACAAATACTTAACATAGCTGTACATTTCTAAGTGTAGAGAAAACATCCTTTACAATTTATTTGATACTCCAGCAACTATTAAGCTGATCTACAAGCAACTGAGACAACTGATGAGAGGCAATTGATGTAATCAGATTCTGAGCTAACAAAAGGATACTGTCTCTTACCTCTTGTGCTTCATCTCCTGTACAAGCGCCTCACAAGCCAGACAGACCAAGGGACGATAATTAAATCCCATCCCTT